CCGCTAGCAGCCCTGGCACCGTTGTTCTCCGAGAGATCCCTAGCTGCTAACAGGAAAGGCTTTAAATGGACCTTAAAGGACTTACCCGGTCAAAGGATCAAGCTGGAGAAATACCCAGACTCATATCACAGCAAGTCTGGGCAACTGCCCAGATGTTTGTTAAATGAAGCAACTCATTAATCACCATGGCCTCTTCCTCCATCGCTTCACACCCCAACCCACACCCCGGTCCCGGGCCTGACATGCAACCCTCCTGGATTACACATCACAGTGCATACATCCTGGACCTCAGGAAACACCTGATTTCCTTCAGAAACACTATAAGGACCAAGGTGAATAGTGACTTGCTCTTCTGTAGATAGCAGGACCAAGAAGCACCTCTATAGGACAAGCAAGTGCTCACCCTGGGATTGGTAGCCTCTCCTGGGGGGGGGGGGAGGCACCAACCTTCATATTGAGATCACCCCACTTCTGTAGTATCCATTGACTCCTTCCCTCTTGTCTTTCATCATGCCACATACCATGATGAGCAAACTAGGCTACCTTGCAGGTGTCTTCGTGTAGTGTTCAGAGAAAGGCAGCCCTGGGCATGGACATTTGTGGATCAGAACCAAACTGATCTACTTAGTCTCCCAGAACATTCCTTTGTTGCTGGCCCAGCATGCCTCTCAGCTAGGCCTAGGCAAGGCAGGGCTGAATCTTTGTGAATACTGATTCCCAAAAGGAAGCAGAGTGAAAGAAAATGTCTCCTTGAGAACCTGAAGTGTGAGGGTCAGTCATATGAGCTCTGCCATCCCTTCCCTACTCCCGACATGTCAGTAAACATGTTATCACATGTACATGGAATAGCATTCTGGCTGCATCAACTTTCAGTATGAAACCAGAAACTAAAAGTGGGAGATTGAGGTTCAGGCTGCCACTCGGGCCAGAGATGAATTCGCACCATCCAACAGAGTACAAGATCTCCTTGGAAGCAGTAATTCATTGACATCCAGGTTTAAAGCTGTCAGCCTGCAAGAAGCCATGGGAGTAAAGGGACCTAAGCCATCAGAAATGATGGCCCTGTGGAAACCTGTGACAAAGAGGTGGAACCTGTATCAGAGTACCAAGTACCAAGGCTGGAATGGATGACTGTGCAGACAGCTTCACTATCAAAATCTAGGGTGAAGTATGACCCAGGGTGTCAGGAGAAAAGAAAAACTATAGATGAGATTGACTGGGAATAAAGGTGTGGATGGAAGAATTGGAAAGGAAATCATGACCTCCTTACTGGAGGTAGCAGCAAAAGGGGTCTGGGCCTTGGAGTAACGAGCCTTGCAAGCCTGATGGAGTAAGAGGGCTAGGAGGGTTTTGGAAGTTTACAAACAGCTTCAGGCTGACCCCAGCATCCTGAGGCCACAAACAGACTAAGGGCACCTGCTGGGGAGAGTTTACAGTGATAGAGAAGTAGGTTCACCTCTGCCCTCCAGGAATTTGTTTCCATCCTTCTGGCCCACCACCCTAAAAGAATAGCAACAACCAAGACCCTGAAACTGTGGAGTCCCTGAGCCTCAGGTTCCTCTTTTGCAAATGAATCTCTTCCCAACCAGATAGTGACAGCTAAGAGCCTTCTGCAGGGAACCTGGCTAACAACTTCTCCCAGTGCCAGATGTGACTTCACTCCTGTTGTTCCTGCTGTCCAAGCTTCCCAGAGTAGGGCCTCCCCCACAGGAATACTCTCCAAGCTGCTGGCATATAGGCCATGACCTGCTGCGGATATCGCTCTCTTCCCTGTTACCACTGGATGGAATCTGAGTGGGTCTGGGCCCTTTTCTTGCCAGGATGTAGGTAGTAGTTACGCTGGCTCTGACCTAAGATTGACCTAGTTTGGCCACATTGTACACAGGGTATTTGAGCCACTCAATCACACCTGCTTACCTGCTTGCTAGGGGTCATTTCTGGGTGAGCCATCCACCCCCTGTCCCTGTGGCTCTCTCTACCCAGCACAGCCTTGCCTCCTATATTCCCTCTGTCCGCCTTGTCCAGAATCTGAGGGTGATGGGTGGCTGCAGAAGTGCCTCTGCCCCTGGGAATCTGCAGGAGCACACTCCTTCATTCTTAGTGATCTGATTGAGAGCAGCAGGCCTCCAAGGGAGGAACTAGACCCTAAAACCTCTGCTGTCCCATTTCCTCTAACACCATCTCAGAGTATTGCTAAGGATGAGGAACCCAGAGCTGTTGATACAGCTGCAGAAGCACTAAGGAGAACTGAGTGGAGGCATCCCAGGCCAGGAGACTGCAGCCCCTGGTGTATGTTTCAGCCATTTTAGGCAGGACCTGACTTTGGGCTAGAGGCCCAGACGCTATGAGCGCCCTGAGACAGAGCAGATTCGCTTGTCCAGGGGGAATGAATTGTCAATGACTTTGCCTTCAGACAGATGCTCCACAGATCCAGCTTGATGGCAGACCCTCTCCAATAAGAGAAGGGCCAAGGCCACTGCTTCACTTTAGATTCCCAGCCTTCCAGAACCGGGAATTCTCCCTTTAGACACTCTCAGATACCCCTAGCAGCACCCCAACAGGACACGTCAGTCAACACTCCAAATTCTATCAAGAGTGGCATTTATTCTCCTCGTGGAGGTGCGGCGCTCCGAGGAGCTGGTGCTATTGTGCTTAGGAAGGAGGTCTGTCCGTCCGTCCGTCTGTCCGGCCGGCCCGGCCCCAAACGGGGGCAGAAG